TCCTTAAACGTTAGGTCATCAGACATTATTATTCCCAAATCCTTTACATGCTGTTTTCCTACTATGGGTACATTTGATTGTGTTTTGTACTCTGTATTATGTTTAAGGTCCTCATTTTTACCGTACCTGAGTACCTGGAATTTATCACTGTTAAACATCATGTTATTTTCTGATGCCCAGTCGAAAACTTTATTAATATCAGCTTGAAGTTTTTCAATGTCCTCAGCCGAGGTAATTTTCATACTGATTTTTGTGTCATCTGCAAAGGATGATACGAAGCTGTGACTTGTATTTTTGTCTATATCTGATATGAGAATAAGGAAAAGCAGCAGTGCAAGGACTGTACCCTGAGGTACAGAGCTTTTCACTGCACTTGGACTAGATTTTATATGGTTGACAGTTACTCGCTGAGTCCTGTTTGACAGAAAACTGAGCATCCAGCGTCCTACTTTACCTCCCCGGCCAGTTATTCCCATTGACTTCATTTTGTGTGCTATCACGCCATGGTCACATTTATCGAAAGCCTTTGCGAAGTCCATGTATATCACATCAGCATTCTGTTTTTCTTCTAATGCCTCAGTGACTTTGTCGTAGTGCTCAAGTAGCTGTGAGAGGCACGATCTTCCAGCTCGAAATCCATGTTGGCCTGGGTTGTGAAGGTCATTGGTCTCCATGAAATTGGTGACCTGACTCCTAATCACTCTCTCAAATACTTTTATGATGTGCGATGTTAGTGTAACTGATCTATAATTTTTTGCCAATGCTTTGCTCCCTCCTTTGTGTAGAGGGGCTATGTCTGCTACTTTAAGTGCATCTGGTATCTCCCCCGTGTCTATGGCGTAATAACACCACACAGTATTCTTGGAGCTCTTCCTCCACACTATACTGTGTGAGTAGCTATGTCTTTGTGCCTTTATTCACCATACAACCTTAGATGTACAGTTATGGTGAACAAAACATGTAAATACTTATATATAACGTCTGTATATAAAAGCAAAAACAGTATGGTGGGTGGAGAATGGTGGCAAGTCAGGTGAGGTGAGGTGAGGGAGGGAGTGGCAGCCAGTGGCAGCCAGTCACTGCCTGCCACTGCCACTAGCTACTTAGTGGTTCGTCATGGTGAACAAAACATGCAGATACTTATATATAACCTGTGTATATAGTGTAATAACCGACAAAGTATTTGTTCACTGTTTGATGAACATAATTGAATCAACAATATGCACACCATATTTTTGAGTACAGCGATGATTCACTCATTTTATTATATAAATATATCACACTACACACTATTGAATAATATTACAGCAAAAAAACTACGAAAAATCAATCAGAGACATTTAAATAATTAGGTAATTATCTCTTTGTGGAAACTCTGGCCTGACAGCTGGCGATCAACAGACCGCCTGGGACGCACGCTCAGTCAGCGCCTGATTTTTGCCAGAATTCCCCGCCCTATAGTGGGCAATATATGCCACTTACGATTTTTTTTTAATTTTTCCCGTGAACAGTGAACACAAATTAACCGGTTAGGAAGAAAAAATAATTTTTTTTTTTTTTTTTTTTTGGTATGCGCCTGTGGGTGTCAAATGGTATATAGCTATGTGCCATTTAAGGGTTAAGAACATTGTGCAAGGAGCCTATGCTACACTTTCTGACTTTAGAATTGCTTTTAAATACATGGATGGCAAAATACTAAAAAAATTGTTCACGACTTTTGTTAGACCAAAGCTGGAATATGCAGCAGTTGTTTGGTGCCCATATCTTAAGAAGCACATAAACAAACTAGAAAAGGTGCAAAGACATGCCACCAAGTGGCTCCCAGAACTGAAGGACAAGAGCTATGAGGAGAGGTTAGAGGCATTAAATATGCAAAAATTTGAAGATAGAAGAAACAGAGTTGATATGATCACTACGTACAAAATAGTAACAGGAATCGATAAAATTGATAGGGAAGAATTCCTGAGACCCGGAACTTCAAGAACAAGAGGTCATAGATTTAAACTAACAAAACAAAACTGCCGGAGAAATATAAGAAAATTCTCTTTTGTGAACAGAGTGGTAGACGGTTGGAACAAGTTAGGTGAGAAGGTGGTGGCGGCCAAAACCGTCAGTGCAGTAGCTTCAAAGCGTTATATGACACAGAGTGCTGGGTAGACGGGACATCACAAGCGTAGCTCTCATCCTGTAATTACACTTAGGTAATTACACACCAGCTAGCCCGCCACTGGCTGCGACTCCCTCCATACCTCACTTCACCTGACTCGCCAACCTTCTCTTCCCACCATACTGTTTTTTGCTTTTATTCACTATATACAGACATTATATATATAAGTATCTGCATGTTTTGTTCACCATAGCAAACCACTAAGCTGGTATAGTGAGTCCAGACAGTAAAAGGTGGTCACACAGAGTCAGCAGATAACGCTACCTCCCTCCCCACCAAGATTACTCCTCCCACTACAGTGCTAATTATCACAACAATCCTGCTATTATCAGAATCCTGGACATTTTTATCACAGTCAGGGGTCTTCTGTAATACTATCATCGCTAAATAATAGCTTATACTTATATATTTTGACATTTTTAGGCGATGCTGTGGTCACAAGCTGAACATTAGTGCTATGAGCTCATGCTGCGTGCTTCAGCCTTGGTGGCTCACTCAGTACTGAGGTCCTAACACCCGGGAATGTTGCTCACGATTTAAAAAAAAAATGCCGTCTGTTTTCAAGAGCCCTGATGAAGGCGAGGTGAACTCTGTGTATCCGCGGGTCATTTAAATCTTGCGTAGTACTCTAACACGCCATATGACGTGATGTGCAATTTTGGGTAAGTTACTCAACACGTCATATGACTTGTTGCACAGTTTAAGGATTAATTTCCAACATTACATGATGACTCTGTTCCATGGAAGGAATTTAGTGAATATCAAATATCTCCTCTTCTTTCCTGGTGAATACTATATCCAGTACTGATGAAACTTCCCCTTCCCTCATTCTTGTGGTCTGCTTGACGTGTTGATACATGAATGTCTCTGAAATAAGGTTTACAAATCTGCCTGTCCAAAAGTCTTCTGTTCTTGCTTCATAGGCCTCCCAGTTTATTGCTTTCAAGTTGAATTCCCCAATACCAACAATCATGACATCTCTATCTGCTTTTACTATAATCTCAATCATGACCATTATGAGGCCCTCTCATTTATCATCCACTTCCTCCTTTATCCATGTGTTGCTTGCTGGTGGGTTGTAGGCATTTATGATTACAGTATCAGTTTATCATCCTGATTCCAGACCTACAATGCCATTATGTCAACTTCTCAAGGGTTGTCTATTATTAACTCTTTTTATCTTCAGGTGTTCTTTCACCAGTAGAGCCACTCCTCCCCCCTTTCCTAGTTTAACTGTTATGTCTCCAAACTCCTTTGGGTGCACAGTATGGTTTGCAAGTTTGCAGTGGTGTGGGGCAGTGGGGTAGTCTCACTCCTGGATCTCTTCTCCAGCTCTATTTTGACTGCTCCGTGGTTGATCATTGTCTGAATCACAGAGGTCACTCCGGTTCTTTCCTCTCTGTTGCTGGACTCTGCAAGTAGCTTGTCTTCTGGATTCTCAGGATTTGGTTCACTGCACAGTTCATGTGTGGGGTGTATCCAATGCTCTGGCAGTTTCTAATTTCAATTTCTAATTCCTATTTCTACACATTGGATCATCGTGTCCTTCCATTATCTCTGCAGAGCATTCAAGCTCCCCGAAGTAAATCTCTTAGTGTTGATTTGGAACCAGAAACTTTAGTTACTTGTGTCTTCGTTCCCCAATCTTGAAACTCTCGCGTGGGTACCTTTCGGCTGGACTGGTCAAAATGGGGGCTCCTTTCTCTCTTCTCTCGTTTAACTGTTGCTCCAAGTTTTATCCAAATTGGAGATTTATGCTGGCAGGACGATTCTTCTGACTCCTTAATGGCCGTCTTAGCCTTGGTTTCCGGCCCTTTTGACTTGGTGTCCAAATCCGGGCATCTTTGTGGCTCCGTCTTGTTCAGTGGATTGGTCCGGAGACCCTCTATAAAAAAAACTTGCTAACTTCGCAATAGTGTCCACTCTTGAAGTTGAGTTTCTCGACTGTATCACTTTCCCCTAGTCTTTTCTAGATTATAGTGTATCATATTGCGTATTTTAATTTCTAAAAGAGCATGGTCGCTTTTACTTAATTGAAGCAGGTTCTGTAGATAAAAAATCTCTTCTTCATTCATGGTATATATACCAGATCCAGCATTGATGGACTATCCCCTTTCCTCATTCTCTTGGTCTGTTAATATGCTGATACATGAATGTCTTCAGGATAAGGTTTATGAATCTTTTTAGTCCAAATGTCTTCCATTCTTGCCTCAAAGGCCTCCCAGTCTATTGACTTCAAACTCAAGTCACCAAGTACTAACAATCTTATTTTAATGTTATCTGTCCTTGCTTTAATCTCTAAATAATTATAAGAACCCTATCCTTTATTGCCTTGTTCTTCCTTTGTTCCTGTGTTATTACTGGTGAAGTGTAGGCAGTAATGGTTATCAGTTTGTGTATGTAATTACTCAAGTGCTATCATGTCAACATCTCATAGATTGTCATGTATAAATTCTTTTTCATTTAGTTGTTCTTTAACATGTACAGTATGTGTGTGGCAAGTGAATGGAGTTGGATGGTTGGTTGAATACATGAAGATACCCCATGTGCTGCTAATCTCGGACACCATTGGTCAATCAACCAGTGAACTTAGTAAGCGTAGCATCGTGTTAAAATACAAAAGTAAGTTGTTGGCACAAGAAAGGCTTATGTGATTATTATAAACCTGTGTACCCCTTACCTTGCGATGATTTCGAGGTTCAATGTCCCTGCGGCCCAGTCCCTGACAAGGCCTCTTTTCCTGGTTAGATGTTAATAAATGTTTTCTTCATTACTGTTATACTGGAATTTTTTGAATTTCAAACACTTGTAATAATTTTTCTCTTTGTTACAGTGCCCATTCCATAACAAGTGACGTAACCATCGTGGAGACGGCTCAGGCTGCTAACTTTTTCCTCGCTGATGGTGTAATCATTACCGGCTCAGCAACTGGTCAAGAAGCAGATCATACCCAGTTGCATGGTGAGAATGCATAATTATTTGAACAAAATGTTCACTATTATTTCAATGGTTCTTAGGGGCTTTAGATAACATATGTGTCAATACTTGTGTTGTAAAGAAATGTGAAGAAGAGCTTCTGAAGTTACTTGCATTCTGATTAACAGTGAAGAAGAAAATACGGGTCATCAAAATGGGGTCGGTGAGACTGCATAACAAATAGTGTGTACAGTATCCACTCGATTTAACGGCCTCATATTTACCATTCCGCTGGTTCCATCGACTGGTTTTGGAGACTAGTATCTGGAGCCTCTTGTACCAGTCTGCAAGTTGATAAAATCGTAGGTCGGTATTGGGTTTGTTTTGGCATTGGTGCAGCCACCAACCTCAATTGTCCAGTCATAAATTAAATCTTAACTTTCTTTTAACACTTTCGCTTGGAGACAACGCAGTATAGGGTCAAAAATTTATAAGACGAATGTGTGGGAATGACGCATCTGTGCGTCAAAAATTAAACAATTTGGCCTGCTTTCGGCTTGGCTGAAAGCTGAAAACTCCCCCTGGTTGTTGTTCCCCCTCCCCCCTGGTGGTTGTTCCCCCTCCCCCCCCCTGGTGGTTGTTCCCCTTCCCCCCCCCTGGTGGTTGTTCCCCTTCCCCCCTGGTGGTTGTTCCCCCTCCCCCCCTGGTGGTTGTTCCCCCTCCCCCCCCTGGTGGTTGTTCCCCCTCCCCCCTGGTGGTTGTTCCCCCTCCCCCCCCTGGTGGTTGTTCCCCCTCCCCCCCCCTGGTGGTTGTTCCCCCTCCCCCCCCTGGTGGTTGTTCCCCCTCCCCCCCCTGGTGGTTGTTCCCCCCTCCCCCCGGGTGGTTGTTCCCCCTCCCCCCCTGGTGGTTGTTCCCCCTCCCCCCCTGGTGGTTGTTCCCCCTCCCCCCTGGTGGTTGTTCCCCCCTCCCCCCTGGTGGTTGTTAGAGAGAAATCCGAAATATTTTTTCTCCTATGCAAAATCAAGATCAAAAACCACATCTAGTATCGGGCCCCTGCGAAAGGGAGATGGAACTTTCACAGATGACAACAAAGAAATGAGCGAGTTACTGAGGAAGCAGTACGACTCTGTTTTCAGTGAGCCATTAAATGCACTAAAGATTGATAACCCAATGAATTTTTCATGGATATGATACCAACATCAAATCACATATCAGACGTCGCCCTATCCCCACTAGATTTTGAAGAAGCCATAAACAGTATGCCTATGCACTCTGCACCAGGCCCGGATTCTTGGAACTCCATATTCATCAAGAACTGTAAAAAACCACTATCGCAGGCCCTTCACATTCTGTGGAGACAAAGCCTAGATACTGGCGTTATTCCTGACATACTAAAAACAGCAGAGATAGCACCACTCCATAAAGGAGGAAATAAGGCAGAGGCAAAAAATTACAGACCGATAGCACTAACATCGCACATCATAAAAATTTTTGAGAGAGTGCTAAGAAGTAAGATCACAAAATACATGGAATCACAGCATCTCCATAACTCCGGACAACATGGTTTCAGAACAGGGCGCTCTTGCCTGTCGCAGTTACTGGACCACTATGATACGGCATTAGATGCTATGGAAGACAAACAAAACGCTGATGTAATTTACACAGATTTCGCAAAAGCTTTTGATAAATGTGACCATGGTGTTATTGCACATAAAATGCGTTCAAAAGGAATTACCGGGAAAATAGGCAGATGGATCTACAATTTCCTGACTGACAGAACCCAATGTGTAATAGTCAACAAAATAAAATCCAGCCCATCAACCGTGAAGAGCTCAGTCCGCCAGGGTACTGTGCTTGCTCCAGTACTTTTTCTCATCCTCATATCGGACATAGACCAGAACACAACCTATAGCACTGTATCATCCTTTGCAGATGACACTAGGATTTTCATAAGAGTTGGCAACATAGAGGACACGGCAAACCTCCAATCAGATGTTGATCAGGTCTTTCTATGGGCTACAGAAAATAATATGGTATTCAACGAGGATAAGTTTCAGCTCATGCGCTACGGAAAAATTGAAAATATAAAAACAGAAACCACGGACAAAACGCAGGCAAATCATAACATAGAACGAAAAGGCAATGTAAAGGACCTGGGTGTACTCATGTCGGAAGACCTTACCTTTAAAGAACACAATAAAGTAGCCGTCACAACTGCAAGAAAAATGACAGGTTGGATAACAAGAACTTTTCACACTAGAGATGCTATACCGATGATGATACTTTTCAAAACGCTTGTGCTATCTAGAGTGGAGTACTGCTGCACAATGACAGCCCCTTTCAAAGCTGGAGAAATTGCTGACCTAGAGAGCGTGCAGAGATCCTTTACTGCTAGAATCCACTCAGTAAAACATCTAAATTACTGGGACCGACTAAAGAGCCTAAATCTGTACTCCCTTGAGCGCAGGCGGGAGAGATACATAATAATTTACACGTGGAAAATAATTGAGGGGCTGGTCCCAAACCTGCACACAGAAATAACATCACATGAGACCAGAAGACATGGCAGGATGTGCAGAATACCCCCGTTGAAAATCAGAGGTGCAACAGGTACTCTGAGAGAGAACTATCAACATCAGAGGCCCGAGACTGTTCAACACGCTTCCACTACACATAAGGGGCATAACTGGCAAACCCCTCACAGTGTTCAAGAGAGAACTGGATACGCACCTCCAAAGGATACCTGATCAACCAGGCTGTGACTCATACGTCAGGCTGCGAGCAGCCGCGTCTAACAGCCTGGTTGATCAGTCCAGCAACCAGGAGGCCTGGTCGACGACCGGGCCGCGGGGACACTAAGCCCCGGAAGCACCTCAAGGTAGCCTCAAGGTAGGTAGCCTCCCCCCCTGGTGGTTGTTCCCCCTCCCCCCCTGGTGGTTGTTCCCCCTCCCCCCCCTGGTGGTTGTTCCCCCTTCCTCCCCCCTGGTGGTTGTTCCCCCCTCCCCCCTGGTGGTTGTTCCCCCCTCCCCCCCTGGTGGTTGTTCCCCCTCCCCCCCTGGTGGTTGTTCCCTCTCCCCCCCTGGTGGTTGTTCCCCCTTCCCCCTGGTGGTTGTTCCCCCTTCCCCCCTGGTGGTTGTTCCCCCTCCCCCCCCCTGGTGGTTGTTCCCCCCTCCCCCCCTGGTGGTTGTTCTCCCTTCCTCCCCCCTGGTGGTTGTTCCCCCCTCCCCCCTGGTGGTTGTTTCCCCTCCCCCCCTGGTGGTTGTTCCCCCTTCCCCCCCCTGGTGGTTGTTCCCCCTTCCGCCTGGTGGTTGTTCCCCCTCCCCCCCTGGTGGTTGTTCCCCCTCCCCCCCTGGTGGTTGTTCCCCCTTCCCCCTGGTGGTTGTTCCCCCCTCCCCTTGGTGGTTGTTCCCCCTCCCCCCCTGGTGGTTGTTCCCCCTTCCCCCTGGTGGTTGTTCCCCTGCCCCCCCCTGGTGGTTGTTCCCCCTCCCCCCCCTGGTGGTTGTTCCCCCTTCCCCCTGGTGGTTGTTCCCTCTCCCCCCCTGGTGGTTGTTCCCCCTCCCCCCCCTGGTGGTTGTTCCCCCTCCCCCCTGGTGGTTGTTCCCCCTCCCCCCCCTGGTGGTTGTTCCCCCCTCCCCCCCCTGGTGGTTGTTCCCCCTCCCCCCTGGTGGTTGTTCCCCCCTCTCCCCCCTGGTGGTTGTTTCCCCTCCCTGCTGGTGGTTGTTCCCCCCCCCCTGGTGGTTGTTCCCCCCTCCCCCCCCTGGTGGTTGTTCCCCCTCCCCCCTGGTGGTTCCCCCTCCCCCCTGGTGGTTGTTCCCCCTCCCCCCTGGTGGTTCCCCCTCCCCCCCTGGTGGTTGTTCCCCTCCCCCCCTGGTGGTTGTTCCCCCTCCCCCCTGGTGGTTCCCCCCTCCCCCCCCTGGTGGTTGTTCCCCCTCCCCCCTGGTGGTTCCCCCTCCCCCCTGGTGGTTGTTACCCCTCCCCCCTGGTGGTTCCCCCCTCCCCCCTGGTGGTTGTTCCCCCTCCCCCCTGGTGGTTGTTTCCCCCTCCCCCCCTGGTGGTTGTTCCCCCCTCCCCCCTGGTGGTTGTTCCCCCTCCCCCCCCTGGTGGTTGTTTCCCCTCCCCCCCCTGGTGGTTGTTCCCCCTCCCCCCCCTGGTGGTTGTTCCCCCCTCCCCCCTGGTGGTTGTTCCCCCTCCCCCCCTGGTGGTTGTTCCCCCCTCCCCCCCTGGTGGTTGTTCCCCCTCCCCCCTGGTGGTTCCCCCTCTCCCCTGGTGGTTGTTCCCCCTCCCCCCTGGTGGTTCCCTCTCCCCCCCTGGTGGTTGTTCCCCCTCCTCCCTGGTGGTTGTTCCCCCCTCCCCCCCCCCTGGTGGTTGTTCCCCCCTCCCCCCCTGGTGGTTGTTCCCCCTCCCCCCTGGTGGTTCCCCCTCTCCCCTGGTGGTTGTTCCCCCTCCCCCCTGGTGGTTCCCTCTCCCCCCCTGGTGGTTGTTCCCCCTCCTCCCTGGTGGTTGTTCCCCCCTCCCCCCCCTGGTGGTTGTTCCCCCCTCCCCCCTGGTGGTTGTTCCCCCTCCCCCCCCCTGGTGGTTGTTCCCCCCTCCCCCCCCTGGTGGTTGTTCCCCCTCCCCCCCTGGTGGTTGTTCCCCCTTCCCCGTGGTGGTTGTTCCCCTTCCCCCCCCCTGGTGGTTGTTCTTCCTCCCCCCCCTGGTGGTTGTTCCCCTTCCCCCCCCCTGGTGGTTGTTCCCCCCTCCCCCCCTGGTGGTTGTTCCCCCTCCCCCCCCTGGTGGTTGTTTCCCCTCCCCCCCTGGTGGTTGTTCCCCCCTCCCCCCTGGTGGTTGTTTCCCCTCCCCCCTGGTGGTTGTTCCCCCCTCCCCCCCCTGGTGGTTGTTCCCCTTCCCCCCCCCTGGTGGTTGTTCCCCCCTCCCCCCCCTGGTGGTTGTTCCCCCCTCCCCCCCCTGGTGGTTGTTCCCCCTCCCCCCCTGGTGGTTGTTTCCCCTCCCCCCCTGGTGGTTGTTTCCCCTCCCCCCTGGTGGTTGTTCCCCCCTCCCCCCCCCTGGTGGTTGTTTCCCCCTTCCCCCCCCCTGGTGGTTGTTCCCCCTTCCCCCCCCCCTGGTGGTTGTTCCCCTTCCCCCCCTGGTGGTTGTTCCCCCTTCCCCCCCCCCTGGTGGTTGTTTCCCCTCCCCCCCTGGTGGTTGTTCCCCCCCTCCCCCCCCTGGTGGTTGTTCCCCCTCCCCCCCCTGGTGGATTTTCCCCCTCCCCCCCCTGGTGGTTGTTCCCCCTCCCCCCTGGTGGTTGTTCCCCCTCCCCCCCTGGTGGTTGTTCCCCCCTCCCCCCTGGTGGTTGTTCCCCCTTCCCCATGGTGGTTGTTCCCCCTCCCCCCCTGGTGGTTGTTCCCCCTCCCCCCCTGGTGGTTGTTCCCCCCCCTCCCCCCTGGTGGTTGTTCCCCCTCCCCCCTGGTGGTTGTTCCCCCCTCCCCCTGGTGGTTGTTCCCCCCTCTCCCCCTGGTGGTTGTTCCCCCTCCCCCCCCTGGTGGTTGTTCCCCCTCCCCCCCTGGTGGTTGTTCCCCCTCCCTTCCCTGGTGGTTGTTCCCCTCCCCCCCCTGGTGGTTGTTCCCCCTCCCCCCCCTGGTGCTTGTTCCCCCTCCCCCTGGTGGTTGTTTCCCCTTCCCCCTGGTTGCTGTTCCCCCTCCCCCCCCCCCTGGTGGTTGTTCCCCCTCCCCCCCTGGTGGTTGTTTCCCCTCCCCCCCCTGGTGGTTGTTCCCCCCTCCCCCCTGGTGGTTGTTCCCCCTCCCCCCTGGTGGTTGTTCCCCTCTCCCCCTGGTGGTTGTTCCCCCTTCCCCCCTGCTGGTTGTTCCCCCTTCCCCCCCCTGGTGGTTGTTCCCCCTCCCCCCCTGGTGGTTGTTCCCCCTTTCTCCCCCCTGGTGGTTGTTCCCCCCCCCCCCCCCCTGGTGGTTGTTCCCCCTCCCCCCCCTGGTGGTTGTTCCCCCTCCCCCCCCTGGTGGTTGTTCCCCCTCCCCCTCTGGTGGTTGTTCCCCCTCCCCCCCCTGGTGGTTTTTCCCCCCCTCCCCCCTGGTGGTTGTTCCCCCCCCTCCCCCCTGGTGGTTGTTCCCCCTTCCCCCCCTGGTGGTTGTTCCCCCCTCCCCCCCTGGTGGTTGTTCCCCCCCCTCCCCCCTGGTGGTTGTTCCCCCTTCCCCCCCCTGGTGGTTGTTCCCCCTTCCCCCCCCTGGTGGTTGTTCCCCCCTCCCCCCTGGTGGTTGTTCCCCCCTCCCCCCTGGTGGTTGTTCCCCCCTCCCCCCCTGGTGGTTGTTCCCCCCTCCCCACTGGTGGTTGTTCCCCCTTCCCCCCCTGGTGGTTGTTCCCCCTCCCCCCCTGGTGGTTGTTTCCCCCCTCCCCCCCCTGGTGGTTGTTCCCCCCCCCCTCCCCCCTGGTGGTTGTTCCCCCTCCCCCCTGGTGGTTGTTCCCATCTCCCCCTGGTGGTTGTTCCCCCTTCCCCCCCTGCTGGTTGTTCCCCCTTCCCCCCCCTGGTGGTTGTTCCCCCCCCCTCCCCCCCTGGTGGTTGTTCCCCCTTTCTCCCCCCTGGTGGTTGTTTCCCCTTCCCCCTGGTGGCTGTTCCCCCTCCCCCCCCTGGTGGTTGTTCCCCCTCCCCCCCTGGTGGTTGTTTCCCCCTCCCCCCCTGGTGGTTGTTCCCCCCTCCCCCCTGGTGGTTGTTCCCCCTCCCCCCCCTGGTGGTTGTTCCCCTCTCCCCCTGGTGGTTGTTCCCCCTTCCCCCCCTGCTGGTTGTTCCCCCTTCCCCCCCCTGGTGGTTGTTCCCCCTCCCCCCCTGGTGGTTGTTCCCCCTTTCTCCCCCCCTGGTGGTTGTTCCCCCCTCCCCCCTGGTGGTTGTTCCCCCTCCCCCCCCTGGTGGTTGTTCCCCCTCCCCCTCTGGTGGTTGTTCCCCCCTCCCCCCCCTGGTGGTTTTCCCCCCTCCCCCCTGGTGGTTGTTCCCCCCCCCCCCCCCCCCTGGTGGTTGTTCCCCCTTCCCCCCCTTGTGGTTGTTCCCCCCTCCCCCCCTGGTGGTTGTTCCCCCCTCCCCCCCCCCCTGGTGGTTGTTCCCCCCTCCCCCCTGGTGGTTGTTCCCCCTTCCCCCCCCTGGTGGTTGTTCCCCCTTCCCCCCCCTGGTGGTTGTTCCCCCTTCCCCCCCTGGTGGTTGTTCCCCCCTCCCCCCTGGTGGTTGTTCCCCCCTCCCCCCTGGTGGTTGTTCCCCCCCTCCCCCCTGGTGGTTGTTCCCCCCTCCCCCCTGGTGGTTGTTCCCCCTTCCCCCCCTGGTGGTTGTTCCCCCCTCCCCCCCTTGTGGTTGTTCCCCCCCTCCCCCCCTGGTGGTTGTTCCCCCTTCCCCCTGGTGGTTGTTCCCCCCCTCCCCCCTGGTGGTTGTTCCCCCCTCCCCCCCTGGTGGTTGTTCCCCCCTCCCCCCCTGGTGGTTGTTCCCCCCCTCCCCCCCTGGTGGTTGTTCCCCCTCCCCCCCTGGTGGTTGTTCCCCCCCCCCCCCTGGTGGTTGTTCCCCCTCCCCCCTGGTGGTTGTTCCCCCCTCCCCCCCCTGGTGGCTGTTCCCCCCTCCCCCCTGGTGGTTGTTCCCCCTTCCCCCCCTGGTGGTTGTTCCCCCTCCCCCCTGGTGGTTGTTCCCCCTCCCCCCCCCTGGTGGTTGTTCCCCCTCCCCCCCCCCTGGTGGTTGTTCCCCCCTCCCCCCCTGGTGGTTGTTCCCCCCCCCTCCCCCCCCTGGTGGTTCCCCCTTCCCCCCCCTTCCCCCCCTGGTGGTTGTTCCCCCCTCCCCCCTGGTGGTTGTTCCCCCCTCCCCCCTGGTGGTTGTTCCCCCCTCCCCACCTGGTGGTTGTTCCCCCTTCCCCCCTGGTGGTTGTTCCCCCCTGGTGGTTGTTCCCCCCTCCCCCCTGGTGGTTGTTCCCCCTTCCCCCCCTGGTAGTTGTTCCCCCTTCCTCCCCCCTGGTGGTTGTTCCCCCTCCCCCCTGGTGGTTGTTCCCCCTCCCCCCCCCCTGGTGGTTGTTCCCCCCCCCCCCCCCCCCTCCCCCCTGGTGGTTGTTCCCCCCTCCCCCCTGGTGGTTGTTCCCCCCTCCCCCCTGGTGGTTGTTCCCCCCTCCCCCCTGGTGGTTGTTCCCCCCTCCCCCCCCTGGTGGTTGTTCCCCCCTCCCCCCTGGTGGTTGTTCCCCCTCCCCCCTGGTGGTTGTTCCCCCTCCCCCCTGGTGGTTGTTCCCCCCTCCCCCCTGGTGGTTGTTCCCCCTCCCCCCTGGTGGTTGTTCCCCCCTCCCCCCTGGTGGTTGTTCCCCCTCCCCCCCTGGTGGTTGTTCCCCCTCCCCCCTGGTGGTTGTTCCCCCCTCCCCCCCTGGTGGTTGTTCCCCCCCTCCCCCCCCCCTGGTGGTTGTTCCCCCCTCCCCCCTGGTGGTGGTTGTTCCCCCCCCCCCCCCCTGGTGGTTGTTCCCCCCTCCCCCCCCTGGTGGTTGTTCCCCCCTCCCCCCCTGGTGGTTGTTCCCCCCTCCCCCCTGGTGGTTGTTCCCCCCTCCCCCCTGGTGGTTGTTCCCCCTTCCCCCCCTGGTGGTTGTTCCCCCTTCCCCCCTGGTGGTTGTTCCCCCTCCCCCCTGGTGGTTGTTCCCCCTCCCCCCTGGTGGTTGTTCCCCCTCCCCCCTGGTGGTTGTTCCCCCTCCCCCCTGGTGGTTGTTCCCCCTCCCCCTGGTGGTTGTTCCCCCCCCCCCCCCCCTGGTGGTTGTTCCCCCTCCCCCCTGGTGGTTGTTCCCCCTCCCCCCTGGTGGTTGTTCCCCCTCCCCCCCCTGGTGGTTGTTCCCCCTTCCCCCCCTGGTGGTTGTTCCCCCTCCCCCCTGGTGGTTGTTCCCCCTCCCCCCCTGGTGGTTGTTCCCCCTCCCCCCTGGTGGTTGTTCCCCCTCCCCCCCTGGTGGTTGTTCCCCCTCCCCCCCTGGTGGTTGTTCCCCCTCCCCCCCTGGTGGTTGTTCCCCCTCCCCCCCTGGTGGTTGTTCCCCCTCCCCCCCTGGTGGTTGTTCCCCCTCCCCCCCCTGGTGGTTGTTCCCCCCTCCCCCCCTGGTGGTTGTTCCCCCTCCCCCCCTGGAGGTTGTTCCCCCTCCCCCCCTGGTGGTTGTTCCCCCTCCCCCCCTGGTGGTTGTTCCCCCTCCCCCCTGGTGGTTGTTCCCCCTCCCCCCTGGTGGTTGTTCCCCCTCCCCCCCTGGTGGTTGTTCCCCCTCCCCCCCTGGTGGTTGTTCCCCCTCCCCCCCTGGTGGTTGTTCCCCCTCCCCCCCCCCCCTGGTGGTTGTTCCCCCTCCCCCCCTGGTGGTTGTTCCCCCTCCCCCCTGGTGGTTGTTCCCCCTCCCCCCCCTGGTGGTTGTTCCCCCTCCCCCCCCTGGTGGTTGTTCCCCCCCTCCCCCCCTGGAGGTTGTTCCCCCTCCCCCCCTGGTGGTTGTTCCCCCTCCCCCCCTGGTGGTTGTTCCCCCTCCCCCCCTGGTGGTTGTTCCCCCTCCCCCCCTGGAGGTTGTTCCCCCTCCCCCCCTGGTGGTTGTTCCCCCTCCCCCCCCTGGTGGTTGTTCCCCCTCCCCCCCTGGTGGTTGTTCCCCCTCCCCCCCTGGTGGTTGTTCCCCCTCCCCCCCTGGTGGTTGTTCCCCCTCCCCCCCTGGAGGTTGTTCCCCCTCCCCCCCCTGGTGGTTGTTGACTTTATGTTGCAACTTTTGCCTTTAAATGGTCAAGGTTGGAAATTTACTTAATTTGTTTATATTATTTTCATAAAATCTAACATTTCATAATTTACTACCTATTGATTACCTGTTTATGATTTTGAGGATGAGCATCCCCACAGCCCGGTCTCTTGACCAGAGCTGGTTGCTGGTCTGATCAAGCAGGCTCTTCAGTGTGACTGCTCGCAGGCTGACACACGAGTCACAGCCCGGTTGATCAGGTGTCCGTTGAAGGTGTTGGTCGAGTTCTCCATTGAACCCTGCGAGAGGTCGGCCAGTTACACATTCATAGTCAATTCTAAATATTTATTCTTCTCCCTTTCAGATGTTCTCCAAAATGTTGACCTTCCTGTTTTGATCGGTTCAGGAGTCACCAAAACAAATGTGCACAAATTCATGGATGCCAATGGCTTTATTGTCGGGTCACACTTCAAGACTGGTGGAAGGTTGGTTATTATTGTTGGTTCACACTACAAGACTGGTGGAAGGTTGGTTATTATTGTTGGTTCACACTACAAGACTGGTGGAAGGTTGGTTATTATTGATGGTTCACACTACAAGACTGGTGGAAGGTTGGTTATTATTGTTGGTTCACACTACAAGACTGGTGGAAGGTTGGTTATTATTGTTGGTTCACACTACAAGACTGGTGGAAGGTTGGTTATTATTATTGTTGATGGTTCACACTACAAGACTGGTGGAAGGTTGGTTATTATTATTGTTGATGGTTCACACTACAAGACTGGTGGAAGGTTGGTTATTATTGTTGGGTCACACTTCAAGACTGGTGGAAGGTTGGTTATTATTGTTGGTTCACACTACAAGACTGGTGGAAGGTTGGTTATTATTGTTGGTTCACACTATAAGACTGGTGGAAGGTTGGTTATTATTGTTGGTTCACACTACAAGACTGGTGGAAGGTTGGTTATTATTGTTGGTTCACACTACAAGACTGGTGGAAGGTTGGTTATTATTGTTGGTTCACACTACAAGACTGGTGGAAGGTTGGTTATTATTGTTGGTTCACACTACAAGACTGGTGGAAGGTTGGTTATTATTGTTGGTTCACACTACAAGACTGGTGGAAGGTTGGTTATTATTGTTGGTTCACACTACAAGACTGGTGGAAGGTTGGTTATTATTGTTGGTTCACACTACAAGACTGGTGGAAGGTTGGTTATTATTGTTGGTTCACACTACAAGACTGGTGGAAGGTTGGTTATTATTGTTGGTTCACACTACAAGACTGGTGGAAGGTTGGTTATTATTGTTGGTTCACACTACAAGACTGGTGGAAGGTTGGTTATTATTGTTGGTTCACACTACAAGACTGGTGGAAGGTTGGTTATTATTGTTGGTTCACACTACAAGACTGGTGGAAGGTTGGTTATTATTGGTGGAAGGTGGTTCACACTACAAGACTGGTGGAAGGTTGGTTATTATTGTTGGTTCACACTACAAGACTGGTGGAAGGTTGGTTATTATTGTTGGTTCACACTACAAGACTGGTGGAAGGTTGGTTATTATTGTTGGTTCACACTACAAGACTGGTGGAAGGTTGGTTATTATTGTTGGTTCACACTACAAGACTGGTGGAAGGTTGGTTATTATTGATGGTTCACACTACAAGACTGGTGGAAGGTTGGTTATTATTGATGGTTCACACTACAAGACTGGTGGAAGGTTGGTTATTATTGTTGGTTCACACTACAAGACTGGTGGAAGGTTGGTTATTGTTGTTGGTTCACACTACAAGACTGGTGGAAGGTTGGTTATTGTTGTTGGTTCATACTACAAGACTGGTGGAAGGTTGGTTATTGTTGTTGGTTCACACTACAAGACTGGTGGAAGGTTGGTTATTATTGTTGGTTCACACTACAAGACTGGTGGAAGGTTGGTTATTATTGTTGGTTCACACTACAAGACTGGTGGAAGGTTGGTTATTATTGTTGGTTCACACTACAAGACTGGTGGAAGGTTGGTTATTATTGTTGGGTCACACTACAAGACTGGTGGAAGGTTGGTTATTATTGTTGGTTCACACTACAAGACTGGTGGAAGGTTGGTTATTGTTGTTGGTTCACACTACAAGACTGGTGGAAGGTTGGTTATTGTTGTTGGTTCACACTACAAGACTGGTGGAAGGTTGGTTATTATTATTGTTGATGGTTCACACTACAAGACTGGTGGAAGGTTGGTTATTATTATTGTTGATGGTTCACACTACAAGACTGGTGGAAGGTTGGTTATTATTATTGTTGATGGTTCACACTACAAGACTGGTGGAAGGTTGGTTATTATTATTGTTGATGGTTCACACTACAAGACTGGTGGAAGGTTGGTTATTATTATTATTGTTGGTTCACACTACAAGACTGGTGGAAGGTTGGTTATTGTTGTCGGGTCACACTACAAGACTGGTGGAAGGTTGGTTATTATTGTTGGTTCACACTACAAGACTGGTGGAAGGTTGGTTATTGTTGTTGGTTCACACTACAAGACTGGTGGAAGGTTGGTTATTGTTGTTGGTTCACACTACAAGACTGGTGGAAGGTTGGTTATTGTTGTTGGTTCACACTACAAGACTGGTGGAAGGTTGGTTATTATTGTTGGTTCACACTACAAGACTGGTGGAAGGTTGGTTATTGTTGTTGGTTCACACTACAAGACTGGTGGAAGGTTGGTTATTGTTGTTGGTTCACACTACAAGACTGGTGGAAGGTTGGTTATTATTATTGTTGATGGTTCACACTACAAGACTGGTGGAAGGTTGGTTATTATTATTGTTGATGGTTCACACTACAAGACTGGTGGAAGGTTGGTTATTGTTGTTGGGTCACACTACAAGACTGGTGGAAGGTTGGTTATTGTTGTTGGTTCACACTACAAGACTGGTGGAAGGTTGGTTATTGTTGTTGGGTCACACTACAAGACTGGTGGAAGGTTGGTTATTGTTGTTGGGTCACACTACAAGACTGGTGGAAGGTTGGTTATTATTGTTGGTTCACACTACAAGACTGGTGGAAGGTTGGTTATTATTGTTGGTTCACACTTCAAGACTGGTGGAAGGTTGGTTATTGTTGTCGGGTCACACTACAAGACTGGTGGAAGGTTGGTTATTATTGTTGGTTCACACTACAAGACTGGTGGAAGGTTGGTTATTATTGATGGTTCACACTACAAGACTGGTGGAAGGTTGGTTATTATTGTTGGTTCACACTACAAGACTGGTGGAAGGTTGGTTATTATTGATGGTTCACACTACAAGACTGGTGGAAGGTTGGTTATTATTGTTGGTTCACACTACAAGACTGGTGGAAGGTTGGTTATTATTGATGGTTCACACTACAAGACTGGTGGAAGGTTGGTTATTATTGATGGTTCACACTACAAGGCTGGTGGTAGATTTTTATTGTCATTAATTGTCTTAATGGTGTTCTGTAGATCTACCAGGGGCCCAGCACCTAAGTCTGGCTCACTCGGACACACAGGGAGTGGTGACATTTATTTAAGCCTCCTCACTGGGAAAGGCAACCAGAAAGTCAGTGAGCCAAAACAAATCAATTCTGTTACACACAGAAATCACAATAGTGTGATGCATCAAATGAACAAATCTACAAGGGCAGTGATGAGGGTTTGAACCAACGTTTTGGCAGTGGATCCTCCCAGATGTAGGTTCGAACCCTCATCACGGCCTTTGTGGATTTATTCATTTAAACCAATTCTGGCTTCAGTGTAGACCGAAGCCACCAAACCTGCCTAAGGAACTCCCCAACTATGTAAACAAAACATCAAATTTAATCGAACCTAGCACAAGTTCATTCACCTCGCCTCCCCCACTCATTGGAGTGATAGAGGAGGTAGTTCACTGCCTACTGTCATCTTAGTCCACAGTTCTTGTGATGATAAAGTGTGTACCAGGTCACCTCTAGAGTGTGTTCAAGGTCACTTCTAGTGTGTACCAGGATGCCTCTAGTATGTACCAGGATGCCTCTAGTGTGTACCAGTTTGCCTCTTCCACGCTGGCTCTAGTGTTCAACTTTTCAGCTAAATGTGGTAGATACTGGGGGAAGCCCCATCAGCTCCTTGAAGCTGTCACACTGATCAAGTGCCATACTACTTAGTGTCATCAGGTCTGCCTTTATGACCCTGATGACCAGTTGTTTGGGTGTGTTTTTGGGCGATTTTTCAGCCACGAGGGGTTTTGGTGATGGTACCAGGTCGGCGGTGGGGAAGATCACAAGTTTTGCGAGCGGACAGCACGCGGGACTTGTGATCCTGTGGTCCCGGGTTCGATCCCGGGCGCCGGGGAGAAACAATGGGCAGAGTTTCTTTCACCCCTCTGCCTCTGTTACCTAGCAGTAAATAGGTACTGTCACGGGCTGCTTCCTGGGGGTGGAGGCCTGGTCGAGGACCGGGCCGCGGGGACACTAAAAGCCCCGAAATCATCTCAAGATAATCTCAAGATAACAGGTCTTGGCACCTGGTGTCTTGTGCCTGTTCCAGGTCCTTGGCAGATCTGTGTGACTTTATGTTGTGGTTGTCTGTCACTTCTTTGACTTGTTCCTGTGATGCTGCTGCTTCCTTGGTTCGTGCCCTTTTTTGTCCTTCTCTGTGGGTAGTTAGCTTCAGGGAGCCAATGGGCCTCCCCCCCCCCCCCCAGAAAACCAGCACTGAATGTAAAGAAACGCCAATTTCTGGGCGAGTTCCGGAGGCTCCCTGACACCCTTCCTTGCCCAGGGCATCAGTGTGTTTCTTCATTATAGAACTGCGGAGACTGGACCTGGGACAGCTCCCTTCTTCCACAGGCGAGGAGGAAGGTGGGGGCAAACTAGCAGGGGGCTAGTTTCACAAAATTTTGGTTGTTTGTTTTCATTGTAGGAGAGTTCTTTTGGAGCTGTGGTCTCATTTTCACCAAGCAGTAGTCTGTTTTGACTTGTCTACCTTTCTGGGTGCCTTTCCTTGGATGATGGCAAAGATGACACACTTTAAATGTAAGGTGTTCATAGGCCATCACTCCTTTTGCCTCTCTGTGGAGGCCAGGTTCTGGCTCGTGGTCCCCAGTAGGCCAGTAGAACTCTGTGACTGATGGCACCAAATAGTATGGCACTTATTAAATGCGATCGCTTCAAGGAGCCTCCGAGGCTCACCCAAAAATTGACGTTTCATTACATTCAATACTGGTTTTTTGGGGAAGTTGTTTGGCAGTTTTCGAGGCTTCCATTTTTGTGAACCTGGCAGTGGTCTGTAATACAGTACTTCATTGACTTATTGGGTGCTTTCCCCATGGGGTGGCAGATTGTCATTCACTCCCTGCATCTCTATGAGGGGGGGGGGCAGGTTTTGGCTCTGGGCCCCAGTAGAACAAAGTAGCTAAGAGTAATCTCAGAGAGATAGCTTCAGGGAGCCACCGGGGCTCCATCAGAAAGAGGTATTTCATCATATTCAACACCGGGTTTCTAAGTCGTTACAACAGTAAAGAAACAAATGGTGCGTTAAGAATGCCTGTATCAGGCATTGTCTGAAGCTCTAATTTCTAAGCATTCTAAATTGAATCTGTAATATAGTACTTCAAAACTGGTGTGAAAATCTTTCAATACTCAAAAAGTATTTACTGTATTTAGTCTGACACTAAGAATACAGCTAATATTTTAAAAAGATGGTTCTATTATATATCACATGTGCTAATTAATTTTTTTAATACAAATTTGCCTTTAAATGTTATTCTAACAACTTGCCGAGCATTTAAGTAATGTTTAATATCTTAAACTTATTGTAAAATTAAATGTGTTTATCTGCAGGTGGACAGGCGAGTTAGAATATGATAAGGTCAAGTCATTTACTGATCTTGTCAAAAGTCTGCGGGCAAACTGATGGCTGCTGTTCAAGTGGCATATTGTTAACAGACGTCTTCTAGATACAAGTCTATGAGTATCATATTTAGGTTTGTTAGAATACAAACCCAAACAATACACTGATGATGACCAAAACACATGCCACAAGCTGAAGAAACGACGATGTTTCGGTCCATCCTGGACCATTATCAAGTTGTACTACACTGATGTCATGAAATAGAAAATGACAATTTTATTTAGAGAAAAGTACATGCATACAAAATGAGCTACAGGCAGAATGTTGGATTTCTAGATAGAGAATTAATATTTTTAGAGTATTAATGTTGAGCTATTCAGTGATAAATAATAAATTTATATTTACAAGTTTCTGTACCCTGTAGTAATAAAAATACAAATTCTAAGTGTGGTGATTGTCTTTGTATAAAAATCATCAAATTCAAATCTTCAGCAACTTAAAAACCAATTTAGGAAACAGAATATCGCCTAGAACAAAACGAGGGAATTTCGGAGTCCCTGAATTGACTGAATAGTGAGACAGAAGCCCCATGACCAGCGACACAGGGCCAGAGACAACCAAAACTGGAATAGCAACAGAAGCAACTCAAGACATCTTGAGTTGAAAATGCATGCCTCGCTTTTGACAGAATTGGAGAAAATACTAGAGAGTAACAAAGTCAAACCTCTCATTGGAAAAAAAAAAACAACCCCAGCAAACCTAAAACTAAAAAGAGGACATTATCATCCAAAAAGCAGATAAAGGTGCATCAATAATAGTGTGTAAAATAGAGCATTATAGAAGAGAAGGTCCGAGACATTTGGAAGACGGAGTCAACGTACGAGGCCCCTATGGAATCCAGCAAAAACTCTACTGAGAAAACTTCTGCAGAGAAGTAAATGAGAACTCAAGAAAAAGAAGAGGAATATTTTTAGTCACACCCAAGGATGTATTCCTGGAATACTGCCCCCGAATTATTACCCCGTGTAATTTTTAACGAAAGCTCATTAAGATTTTCATCCTTCCACAAGATCTTGGCAGGGTAGACTGACTGTTGAAGATTCTGGGGATCAAAGCCCCCCCGCGGTCTGATCTAATAATTGCTGGTCTGATCCACAAGGTTGTTTGATGCAAGTGCTTGCAACTTGATGAATGAGTCACAACCTGGTTGATCAGGTATGCCTTGGAGATGCACGTCAAGTTACCTTTTGAATGCTGCGAGAGATCGGCCAGGCATGCCCCTGTATGTGTAGGGAAGGAACGTTGAAAAGTCTTGAGCCTTTGATGTTGATCAAGTTCTCTCTCATCTTGCATATTACACCTCTGCTCTTCAGTGGGGCTATTTTGCACATCTTGCTATGCCTTCTGGTTGCATGTGGTCATATTTCTGTGAGTAGATTTGCAACCAGTCCTCCTAATATTTTCCATGTAAATTTTATTATGCATCTCTCCCACCTGAGCACTAGGGACTACTGTACAGATTTAACCCTTACACAGCGTTTATTGTCAATTGTTGATTCACAGGGTAATGTGGTTATCATATGAAGATTTAAACAATTATTGTCTGGGTTTTACATGTGTGACGATAATCTCTTTCAAGAGAGATTGAGCCTGCTCTTCTCTACATGAAGTTACGCATTTTACACAAGATTAAGATGCTACCTTCAAGATACATCTACCAGTAGCACAAAACGTTTTGACCAGGAGGCAAAACGTACCCAAAACTCACCCCCTACTCCACTCCCTCCACGCCGGCTCGTCATCAACCAGCCAACTACCCTTCCCAGTCTGCCTGCTCCTGATTGGTGACACGCCGACTGCACACCTGCACACTGCTTCTCAGCGCCCTCTACCTGAGTCGATGTCTGGGCTTGATCAAGCCATTGAAGTCAGAATATCCTTGTGCTCTCAAGCAGTGAACAACTGATATTGCTGTATCAGCTGGATGTCTCGCAGCTAGCGCCATATTCTCAGCACCTGATTATTTTTCACCTTTAACGTTATATTACTGTAGAGTAAACTTCATCCCTATTATTCATTTATGTTATATTGTTTTTGACTTGTTCTTTTGCACTGTACATTGCCAAGGGATTGTCTTTGTTTATAAATTGTTTTCTAGACTAATTAAAGTTTCATTGTTCATACTTTGTGTTTTGCGTGTCTTCCCTTACTTTACCACAGACAAACAGACAAACAGGCAAGCAGTCTATCTTTTTTTTTTGTAAGTGTGACTAGGCATTGACACCTGCCATTGGAGGACTGCCGAACATCTACACTCCAACACTTTCCCGTCACACATGTATGATGCGAATATGGATATAATAGGTCTATGTGGATGTAATGGAGTTTACCTTGATCCATGAAAAAAATTCCTGCTACTATTTCATGGTACAAAATCAGCAATGAATGTAATGAAACGGAATTTTCTGGGTGAGCCCCGGAGGCTCCCTGGAGCTATCGGGTTAATATGCGATACATTAGACCAGGGCTTTAGTCAATGGAGTTTAGCCTACCAGAGACCACAAGCCAGAACCTAGCCCCCTAAGAGAGACAAAGGGAGCAATGGCCTACAGAAACCCCCATGTGGTTGGGGGCATTCCATATCTGCCATCGACCGGGGTTGGCACCCAGAAAGGTAGGCATAACAAAACAAACCCCACTTGGTACGAAAATGCAACCAAAATCGAACAGGGAGGCAGAACTAACCCTACAACTTGAGGAAACAAGCAAATGTCACACTGCCTGTCCGTGCAGCTCCAATCAAGAGTGGGAGGGGATGGGAGAGCCCTGGACCCCCCCTCCCCCGTACCGGCTACCCAAGCCATCCAGTTCGGAGGCTGATAATCAAAGAGGAAACAGAATCGCCGATCAGAAGGAGGGAGGGAGGGTTTGTTTTCATTTCCCTAGTAAAGAATCCTTTGAAACAATAATCTGTTGGTGTGTTTACCTTACCCATGATGGTGGTCATCTTTGTTTTGATGATGTGTTTTGCGGCCCATATTTTCTTCTTCATTGTGATAACTGCAGTGCTCCCTCCTCCCTGGTAGGTCCCCTTATTTTCATCATGGGTAGGTAGCTTCAAGGAGCCACAAGGGGCTCTCCCCAAAAAAACTAGTGTTGAATGCAATGAAATGATAATTTCTGGGCGAGCCCTGACGCCCTCCCTTACGCAGGGAGTTGGGGGTGGCTGTTTCCATCACAGAACTGAGGGTGGAACAGCTGGCTCACCTTGGCTGCCTACCTCTTGGCCCCTGAGGCAAACAACCTAGCACAAGTTTCATGAAATTTTGATCCTCTGTTTTCATTTTGGGGAGTTCTTTTAGTGATTTAGAGGTCATAATATTTTTTATAACCAGCCGTGGTCTGTTTTGTTTTGCTGACTTTGTGGGTGCTTTCCCAATTGTGGCAAACATGATTAAAATCCACTGACAATTTTATCATAGTGCCACTGCTCTCTGCACCTCATTAGAGGGGGGCCAGGTTCCTGCTCGTGGTCTCCGGTAAGCTTAAAAAAACTCTGCGACTGAAGGCGCTTAGTAGTTTGGCATTACAGTAGATCATCAGCGTAACTTGAGAATGTCACCGGGGCTCAACCAGAAATAGGCATTTATTACATTCAACAATGTTTTCTGTGTGAAGCCCCTACGGCTCCCTGGAGCTATCAGGCTAATGTTGACGCTGTTTGCACTTATCCTTAACCCTCAAACCGCTTGGGCCCAAATGGAATTAACACCCACAGGCGCAACAAAAAAAAAAAATCCAAAAAATTCTTTCGTCTTATAGAAGTGTTCATTTTTGTTCCCGGATCACAGAAAAATAACAAAAAAATCGTAGGTGGCATATTTTAGCTGCAATAGGGTAGGGAAGTGTGGCAAAAAAAGGGCGTTGGCAGAGCCTTCGCCAGACGAGGTCTACTCCGCCCGAGCTGTCAGACGGCAGTTGCCACAAATATATTATTACCTAATTATTTCAATGTCTGATTTTTTCTTAGTTTTTTTTTGCAGTAATATTATTCCATACAGTGAATTGTGGTATATTTATATAATAAAATGTGTGAACCATCGCTGTACTCAAAATTATGGTGTGCATATTAGTGATTCAATTATTATGATGACCAGACCACACACTAGAATGTAAAGGGACGACGACGTTTCGGTCCATCCTGGACCATTCTCAAGTCAATTGTGATGAGGAAGTAGAGACAGGTAATAAATAGGCACGAGAGATGAGGAGCAAGGTAAGGTGTAGTAGAGGGGCTAATAGTAAGAACTGCAGAGGGCCTATTGGCCCATACGAGGCAGTTCCTATTATAACCACCGAAAGAGAAGGAGAAAATAATGAGAAGAGGAAAGCGAGGGAACGTAGGAGAAGACAATGAACAGAAAAGAGAAAAGAGAGAGAAAGAAAGGTAAATGGAAAGGGTAAGCTTATGTAAGGTCACGTTTGTTAGAAAGATTAGAGCATTTGAGTAAATACTGTGAAAGGGAAGAGTCCACAGCAACAAACCCAGGACTCAAGTTCATGTTGGGTACATTGTGTATTAGAGCTGATTCAACAAGACGGCATCTGTGTAGAGTAGAGGCAGGAAAGATTATTTTGGAGGAAGATCAATCAATGGGATGATTAGAATCCCTCACATGGCAGAAGAGAGCATTGTTAGTGTCTGCAGACTTAACACTTCTCTTGTGTTCTTTAAGTCTGTCATTCAGTGTACGGCCAGTTTCGCCAAAGTATTGGAGAGGACAAGACGAACAGGAAATAGAGTAGACACCAGCAGCATTAGAAGCAGGAGCAGCAGTGTGAACTATATTGCTACGAAGTGTTAGTTTGTCGAAAGGCGAGCTTAATGTCAAGAAGACGAACGGTATTGGTAAAAGGCCCTCTGCAGTTCCTACTATTAGCCCCTCTACTACACCTTACCTTGCTCCTGATCTCTCGTGCCTATTTATTGCCTGTCTCTACTTCCTCATCACAATTGACTTGAGAATGGTCCAGGACGGACCGAAACGTCGTCGTCCCTTCACATTCTAGTGTGTGGTCTGGTCATCATACTTTAGCCACGTTATTGTGACTCATCGCCTGCATTCAATTATTATGTTCATAAAACAATAAACAAATAGTTTTGCTGTTGTTACACTATATACACAGGTTATATATAAGTATCTGCATGTTTTGTTCACCATAACGAACTACTAAGTTGGCCTTGTGAGTCAAAAAGCAACGAGGAGTGACCGCCACACACCAGCAAGCCACTCCCCTCCCTCAACAACACCTCACTCGCCCTCATTCTCCTCCCGCAATACTGCTTTTGCATTTATTCACTATACACAGACGTTATATATACGTATTTACATGTTTTGTTCACCATAACTGTACATCTAAGCTTGTATGGTGAGTAAAGGCACAAAGACGTAGCTACTCACACAGTCAGCTGGTAACGGCCGCCCTCAAGGCCAAATGCACTAATATTTCTCCTCCAACAATACTGTTTGTGGTGTTATTACGCTATATACACACATTATATATAAGTATCTACCTGTTTTATTCACCATACCTGTACAAATAAGCTGGTATGGTGCCCAAAGACCATAGTGGCCACCAGTAAACAACATGACAAGTCGTGCAGACGACGCATCTCCCTCACCAAAATGGCGGCTCCCAACCTACTCCTCTTGCTGTTATCTCACACTATACACACGTTATATATAAATATCTACATTTGTGTTCACCATAGCGAACCACTAAGCTGGTATGGTGAGTGCAGTCAATAAAAGGTGGCCACACACAGTCAGAAGACGACGCCACAACCCTCCCTCCCACAGCCTTACTCCTCCCTCAATGGAGCACGGTGCTAAATATCACCACAATCCTGCTATTATCAGAATCCTGGTCAGTTTTATCACAGTCAGGGGTCTTCTATAATAGTATCATTGCTAAATAATAGCAGTATCATGTATATTATGGCATTTGTAGGCGACGCTGTGATCACAAGCTGAACAGCGGTGCTGTGAGCTCGTGCTGCATGCGCCAGCCTTGGTGACTTGCTCAATACTGACCTCTAACACCCAAGAATGTTGACCTGGATTTCTTTTCTAGGTGCCATCTGGCAACTATTGGTCGTGGCTGTACTATAGCTGCCCTATCCCAGGTGGGGCGTTTAAATTATAGCGCTAGACACGAAAGCATATATAAATGATGTGCACGGTTTCGGTTTTGTCACTGATATCATATATGATATGCGCGGTTTAAGGGTTAAGGAGGCGATGTCTCTGTTCTTTGCTTATCTCGTGTGCCATCAGGCTGTGCTCACTCTCTTTAGAATCCGCTTGGGCCCTGGCTCTTAGGTTTCCGTTGCTGTTTGCAGAGTCTGCTGTCATGCAGTTTCTGCAGGCGGCTCTGTCTAGTTGTTGTCCTGTTGGAGTTGTTGGTAATTCGGGGCGGCCATTCTCGGCCTTCTTGAAAGGATCGTGCCAGGGCTTGGGGTTCCACTGGTCAAGGTGGGCCATTGGTGCCAGCTTCTGAGCCGGCATCGTCTAGTCAGCGTGGTGATCACTCTGTTCGTCTGTCGGCTTCTTGTAAGGGGCGTCGGCCCTTTTGCGGTTTGCCCCGTTGACAGGGCAATAGAGGGGGGGGGGAAGACTCACTCTGTTTGCTCGCTCTTAGTTCCACGATTTGTGGAAGTTTCGGGTCGTGTCCTTTAACCTGTGGTGGTGTTGAGCGGCGGCTCCTCCTTCGAGGGGGTTCGGAGCTGACGGGGCAGGCTTCTTCCCCTGCACTTCATCATGTCATTTTGGAGTGGGTACGCTTGGGCGTGGTCGTAATGATCACATTCCTCAGGTAGGTTTCTTGCCTGTTTCCAGTGCCAAAAGGGGACTGTGTGGATCTGAGGTTCATTCTGGACTTGTCCCATCTGAACCCCTGGATTCCTTGCCCCATCTGAACCCCTGGATTCCTTGCCCCTCCTTTCGGATGACCACTCTGTACCTTGCCCCTCCTTTCAGATGACCTATCTGTCTCAGGTCCGGCTTCTTTTGGAACCGGGTGCTAGGGTGGTGTCTCTGAACCTTAAGGACGTGTATTGGCACATCCCAATTCATCTGGGGTTCAGGGACTGACTTGGTTTTGTGGTAGGCCATCAGGTTTACCTCTTTTGTTGACTTCCTTTTGGCTTGAATCTGGCACCTCACATATTCATGCATCTTACCTGGGTCATGGTGATCTGTCTGTGTCTGCTAGGGGTTCGAATCCTGGCCCAGGTACTGCAAGTCGTACGTCTAGGTACGTCGAGGTACTACCTCGATGACTGGCTGGTGTGGGCTTCCAGTCGGTCTGCTTCCCTGCTTGCCAGAGGTGTGGTTCTTTCCCAGTTCGCTGGGTTCAGGTTCCTGGTGAACTGGAGGTGGTCCTATTTAGTTCCGTCCCAAGTTCGGACCTGGCTGGGTCTTGTTTGGGACTCTCCGCCCGCTTCCATGTCACTCTGGAGGCATTGCTGCGGCTGCTGTTCCCCCTTCGGCTGTTTCTGGGGGTCACTGGGCAGTTGCTTGAGCAGCTGTGCAGGAGTTTGAACTTCGCCATGTTGGTCTACCTGCTGGGTTGGATTTGACATTTACCTCTGTTCTGGTTCCTTCGTGGACACCCCCTTCCGCTTCTCTCGCAATTGCTGGGTTCGAGCTCCGGGGGCCTTGCGTCTGCTGCTGCATTGCCAGCTTCCTCTTTAGGGTTTTCGGGGTTCAGTGCCTTGGCGCCAACCTTGGCTCTTGCTCGATGTGTTCAGGGATGCGTCGTCTCTTGGCTGGGGCTTTGTGACCAGTGCTCACCAGGCCGGCCAGAGGCGGTAGGGTCCATCCTTCCGTCGGGCTCACAGCACGATGTGGGAGTTCGCGGCGGTTTGGCTGTCGCTTCGGATGGTTCAGATTGCTTGGGGTTCGACCATCTGGCTCTATTCAGAATGTTCTCAAGTGGTTCATTGCCTGAACCGTGGAGGTTCTCTTCAGTCCTTGCCTCTTTGGGGCTGGTTGCTTTGAGTGGATTTGGCTCTCCGTGCAGTTCATATCCGGAGAGTGTCCAATGCCTTGTCCCATTACATTCCCATCCACAGAATGGACGGTCGACACCGCCTCCTTCAGTTGGCTCTGCCAGACGTACGGTCTCCTGGAAGTAGACCTCTTCGCGTCAGCGTGGTCTCGGCATCTCCCAATCAATGTTACCTGCTTGATGGGGTTCTGGGAGTTCTGCTCCCCCAAGCCCGGCCAGAGGCCAGGCTTGACTTGTGAGAGTTTGATCCACCAGGTTGTTGCTTGGAGCGACCCGCAGGCCCACATACCCACCACAGCCCGGTTGGTCCGGCACTCCTTGAAGAAAGCAATCTAGTTTTCTCTTGAAGATGTCCACGGTTGTTCCGGCAATATTTCTGATGCTCGCGGGTAGGACGTTGGACAACCGCGGACCTCTGATGTTTATACATTTAATGTGGTGCCCTTCCCCGGCTGCGAGGCTGTCGCGGTGGACGCCTTTCGGCAGGACTGGTTGAGGTGTGGTTACCTGTACCTCTTCCCTCCTTGTCCAGCCGTTACTTTGGGTTCTGGCTCGGTTGGAGTCGTACCAAGGAAGAGTAGTCCTCGTGGCCCCTTGGTGGCCAGCCCAGTCTTGGTTCCAGGTGCTGCTTGCTCGATGTGTGAACCCCAGACGTTTTCCGCGGCTCTGCCTCTTCCAGGTCAGACCCGTCCAGTACACGGCTGGTTCGGTCTTCTCCTCCGCTCTTCGTGTCTGGTCTTTTCAACTCGGGTTTACCACCGAGTTACCACCATTTACCTATGGTGATCAGGTGGCTTGATTGATGGTGTCCCACCATCAATGTCTCTCACCACCACCGAGCTTCGTCTCAGCGACAGTATGAAGTTTCTTGGCGTTCTTTCCTCCATTTTCTTGCTCTTCATAGGTTGTTGTCTATTTCTGATCGGGTTGTCTTGTTCTGGCTTGGCTTTTTCAGGACCGTCATTTGATGCCTAATACTCTTGCCTCCTATCGTGTGGTGCTTGCAGACCCAATCCAGCTTGCATTCGGGGTGAATGTCAATTCTGCCATGTTCCGTAAGCTTTCTCATGCTTTGTTTCACCTCCGGCCTACTCATGCACCGCCTGAGACATCCTGATCCTCGGACAGGGTGCTCTCCTACCTTTCCTCTCCTCGGTTTGTGGTGGCTCCTTCGGTTCATCATTGTTTTTCCAAGGCTCTGTTTCTGTTGGCATTGGCCTCTGGGGGTCAGGTCGGTGAGCGTCATGCTCTCCTCCGGTGCAGGGGTTTCTGCTCTTTTGGTCCTGGTGGTCGGTTGCAGCCTTCTCCTCCTTTTCTGGTGAAGAACGAGATGGCTGCTTTCCGGAGGGGTCCTTGGGTCATTGATGCTTGGTTGGTCAGGCTGGGGGTGCATCGTGTTTTGGGTCCGGTTGCGGCTCTTCGCCGTAATCTGCGCGCTTCAGCTTCAGTGGCTGGGGATGAGCTTTGGGTTGATCCGGTTTCTTTCATTCCTGTTCCAGGGCTCTGATCTCCCAGGTTGTCCGCAGGGTTATTAAGTCTGGCCAGTCTTGTTTGGCAACATGTCTTGAGCTGATGTTTGAGCACGGGGATTTTGGAGGTCGAACAGGGTCCTGACTGCCCATTATTTAGTTAATGTTTCTGCTCCTGGGCATTCCTGTGTTGCTGTGGGTCGCAGGTTGCAACCACATACTTCTCAACTTCGCGTTGAGAAGTATGTGGTGGCCGCCTCCCGGGTTTGTCCCTCTTTTGCTTATCTTTGGGTATGTAGGTCCAGGGAGCTGTAGGGGCTTCCCACAGAAAACCAGCGTTGAATGTAATGAAACGCCATTTTCTGGGTGAGCCCTGGAGGCTCCTTGGCAACCTTCCCCCCCCCCCCCCCTTCGGTTGGTGGTTTATCACTTTGTTTGATGCTTAGTTTCCGAACTGGAGTGCTAGGTAGCCAGCGGGGAGGTCCAAGGCTCCCCTCCTCTTGGGGAGGGGAGGGCTGTGCAGACGAGCGGCGTGGCAGTGGAGTGTGATGTTGGCTTGTTTGCTTGGGATTGGAGGGAATTCTGCCTCTCTCTCTCTCTTTTTGGTTTTTAGTTGTAATTTTCTTACCATGTGGAGTTTTGTTTTGTTATGCCTACCTTTCTGGGTTCCTAACCCTGGTCGATGGCAGATAAGAAAATCCCCCAACCACAGGGGGATTTTCCAGGGCCACTGTTGCCCTGCAACCTCTCTGAGGGGCCAGGTTCTGGCTTGTGGTCCCTTGTAAATTGAACTCCATAGACCTGGTCTAATATATCACACATTAGCCTGATAGCTCCAGGGAGCCTCCGGGGCTCACTCGGAAAATGGTGTTTCATTACATTCAACGCTTTTTTTTTTTTACTACATTGAAAGGTCATTATTAACGGGACAAAATTACAAAGGTATTCCTTGAATGATATTATGTAGAAAAATGGGGGCAATTTAAACTATCAGAAGTCGGTCAATGTTCAAATTGCATGGCAATTATTATTGTTTATGATCACTAGATAAGCAGGTCATATACAATCAATTAGGTGTCCAAACATGATTGGATTCTACACACACATTTACAAGCCCTTATCACTTTACATATTACGTAACTGTACATACTAAGTTTATATCATGAGCGTCCGCTTCTTGAGGGTAACGTAGCAAGAAAAAATAACTACTCTATGAAGGGTATTGGTCTTTAAAGGAAAATATATAGGTCAGTGCCTGTGGAATTGGCTGCCAAAATGATATGTGAACAATATGTAACAATAATGGAATTTGCAATATATCTATAAACACGATACAATTTTGCATAAACAATTACTAGGCAAAGGCAAGATATATGTACACATATCTGTTGATTTTTTGCTGCGTATATGCCTAAACTATTGAAATGGACAAACATTTTTCCATTACTGTGATGTAACAATGAAATTTATTGAAATATAAAAATGTATTGCCTCAGTAATTCAAATTTTCAGCAAATGTGTAACAATTTTCAATTGACACCAAAGGCAAGAACATAGCTGTAGGTTTCTTTTTTTAACATACAATATTAATATTGTACTTTTATAAATATCCACTTTATCCATCAATTGATTTTTGAAAGTTCTGTACAGCCTTGCATGTGCTATGCCCAAGTAAATACAAAATTAAAATGCTAGACCATTATGGGTTATATAGCTGCTAACTGACTTCTGAATAACTATCTTTGGCTATTTTTTGGTTTGCATTTAAAAGCGCTTCCATAAATCAAATTATAACAAACACCTTTGGTTATGTCATAATATGTCAGTTCATAACTAAGTGACTTTGCTTTATCTGGATTCTAAACTAGATTTAGACTTTACTTGTCTATCCGACTTTTGCTGTATAATGATTTTATTTTTCTCTCGAGTAACTTTAGTGTGAGGGACCGGGTGTTTAGCAGCTTGTTCTGCTGCTTGCATCCGGGTTCGTCTTGGTAATATCGGAGGTGGAGGGTAATGTGATACGAGTGGGTGGCGGCGAGAAGACGAAGGGCCCGCTTCGGGATGGCCTGATGCAGTAACAATGGGCTGTGATGACGTACCTGTAACAAACATTGTGGTGGTCTTGTCTCAGATACACTTCAAATTTATATTGATCACATCTTCACTATTGTGTAATATAAAGAGTCTAATAGTATGCATGTGACTTTATTTACTAAATGTCCAAGAATGGCAAAAATTATTTAAACCTGTTTTGGTCATGCAAAACTACCTATACAGAACTTCGTTAGTGATTCACCTGGTTGCATTTCCCTGAATCTATCATTCCGAGAATCTTCACTGTACTGCCGAAGCTTGGCCTTTAAATCTCGGCTCAGTTTTTTATAATAAAAGAGTTGCTTTTCCATCTCGCGCAAATGGAACTCGTGAGCACCAGATCCTGTGGAGAATATATCTTTAAAATGTGTCAGTATTAAAGTACATTATTCACAATTTAATTCTTTAATCACTTATGTACTGTGCCTAACACACTTCAGTTTTTCTAGATAGAGATCAACACCCACAAATACCATGCTCAGGAATGGGACTAGCCCGAAGGAAGAATCTTCTCCTTGGGAAGATATTAAGCAGCCCAGTGGAAATGAGTAGTATAAGATTTTATGCATAAATGTGTACATAATTACAAATAAATGAGTAGAACTGCACCCCTCATTTCATTGTAGTTATGGAGACATGACTAATGTAACAGAGGATGCAATATTCCCAAAAGGATATTAGGTAAGCATTAATTAAAGAAATTTTTCATATGAAAAATATGAACATACAATGTTCACATTTCTGAACAGCATGAGGGGTAGACCGCAGGCAAGCTGGACTTAATGACAAGCAGACAAACTGAGAAAGGCAAGCCTTAAAATAGGGAACCAAGGTGGCAGGATCAAACCAAAAACAACGCTTGAAGAAACAATCTTGGACCAAAGGACACACAGTTAAACAGAGTGGAAGAAAGAAAAGAAAGAAGACGGTCAAGAGACCAAGCAGGCTGAGGCTGTACATGAGCAGGCTGGAGGTGAAACAAGGCACAAGACAGCTTCAGATACTGAAGAACAGTGATGAAGAGAAAAGAAGTAACACTGTTATGAAACCTCATACTGCTGCTTCAAGGAGGACCTCATGTGGGGCATTATCAATGAAGCTACTTGATCACCACAGAGATGGTGATAAATGCATTTAAAAAAGTTCAGTTAAGTAGAGCGGAAGTGGTCAAACCAACAAAGTACATCACTGGGCCAACCCTCTAGCAGAGGCAGAGCCATGGACAAATGGCCGACTTTGAATAATGAGCAAGCAGCACTTCTTGGTGGCCGACCTGGCCACCAAGAAGCCAGAAGGATCATTATACCCCAGTAGGACTCCAACTGCACGAAGACCTGGAGCAACAGTCAGACCGGGGATAAAAGGTCCCGAACTTGACCAGTCCAGCTGAAGGGCCTCACAATCTGGGAATGGTGCTACATGCAAAGGAAAGCTCCACGACCACGTCGACACAAAGAGGTCCATGTCCTCAATACACACATACACTTGTAAATAATATAGAAACAAGTGATAAACAATCAATGAAACATCCGAGGAGAAGACAGAACTCGTGTTTGGCATACCTCAGTCAGCAAAGTTGGCATCATGTGCTGACAGATGAATGACCACATGGCAACCTGTCACAGCTCTGACACCCAATAATAAACCAGCATTGAATGTAGTGAAACGCCATTTTCGGGGCGAGCCCCGGAGGTTCAAAGCTAGATCTTGCTCCCTGCAGACACGGCTAGATAAGCAGTATTTATGAGGAGCCTTGGTTAAAACCGGAAGTATTGTTTTGACAACTAGCGATTGCATAATATTTTATGAAGTGCTTTAATAAATTGCTAGGAATGGAGATTCAGTCATTTGAATAGTGACAGTTATTCACTGAAGATAAAACAAAAGACAAACACACTTCGATCATTATATCTGCAAGCTCCTGATGACCAGCAGAAGTCACCTGGGTAACACCATCTTTGCATATAAAAGTCATTCGCTTTAATGCTTTGACAGATATAACTGAAAGCTTGCTAAGTATTCTAGACAGAAGGGTCACATACTAAGGCAAGGTCACGGGGAAAATATAATTGTTGAATTAGTTAAATGGAAGCTATGAGTAATGATGAAATCAGATTGCAGCATATTATTAAATTTCTTTCTTAAAAAAACTAAAACCCATTTTTACATATTTTACTGTACAGTAAAGATCAATACCTGAAGAATCGTCATTGAATTGCCGTAACAATGTGGATATTTTTTGTTGGTAATCGCGCTGCTGTGAAGTGATACGTCTCTCCATCTCCAAACTAGCCTGTTGATAGGCTGCCTTCAGGTCGCTTATATATCGTAACTTCTCCTCATATTGGTTCTAGTTGGAAAACAATGAGAATTAGTCTAAAAATGGTGAATTTAAGCTTTGCTTTATTAAGGATAATTAAAATCTTATTTCAAAATTTTTTTCTATATCCAAACTAATGTTTTTTCAGCAAATTTGTTTGAAGATTACAAATTATTTGATTGTTATATCATGCACTAATTTGCTAGATAATGCACAATAATAATAATAATAATAAGTGATACCACTGTCAGTTACCATAGAACACAATCCATCCATCCTCCTATTAAAACAGTTAAATATTGACAATAGGGTATATAAATGTTTGGACATCACAGCAAAGGTTATAAAATATTATATAACTTGCATGTGAATGTTATGTGCAAGCTCTAATGTTATACTTTAACAACAGGGAATGTTGATTTGGTTAACTTTAATTAACTGTTCCTAGATTTATGGATAATACAACAAACTATTAACCTTACCTCCAGATCTGAAAATGAAATTTCTTGCTTCCGAAATTCAATGCGAAGATCTATCACCTTATTGAAATACTTGACTAGAAGGGATCGAGTTTCCTCTGGGCACAAATTCATTAGCCTTTCCATAAGGTTATCCTAGTAAGGAAAATTTGCATTTAAAATATAGAATATATGAATATTCTTTATAATACAATATATATATATATATATATATATATATATATATATATATATATATATATATATATATATATATATATATATAATATATATATATATATATATATATATATATATATATATATATATATATATATATATATATATATATATATATATATATATATATATATATATATATATATATATATATATATATATATATATATATATATATATATATTTTTTTTTTTTTTTTTTTTTTTAATTTTAATTTTTAATTTATTTATATATATATATATATATATATATATATATATATATATATATATATATATATATATATATATATATATATATATATATATATATATATATCTTTGGACAACACCCACCAGTGGGACTCGAACCCAGAAAGCACAACTACCTTCCAGTAGCTGGCATAACTAGTATGCTTTAACCCACTACGCCATCAGACCTTACAAAAGAAGTAGATAGTTCGAGATATATATCTCAAACATCTCCACCTCCCGAAAGCACCAGATGAGTGAGGGGTCAGTCTGCATTTTTCGTCAAGCCACTGTCAATGTGAGAGAACTCGTGTCCAGCTTATAAGCCTATACTTGCATAAACCACAAGTGAAGATTAACAATCTTTGTCCAAAGATTGTTAATCTTCACTTGTGGTTTATGCAAGTATAGGCTTATATATATATATATATATATATATATATATATATATATATATATATATATATATATATATATATATATATATATATTAGTATATTTTGGTAGCAGTCTTTCCTGTAGACATATATTATTAAATATGACCAAAAAACCAGCGTTGAATGTAATGAAACGCCATTTTCTGGGTGAGCCCCGGAGGCTCCCTGGAGCTTATCGGGCTAATGTATGTTATGTTAGACCGGGACATTAGCTAAGGAGTTCAGACCTACCAGGGACCAGCGCCAGAACCTGGCCCCTTCAGAGAGGTTTCAGGGAGCAATGGCCCTGGAAAACCCCAAATGGTTGGGGGTTTTCCTTATCTGCCATCGACCGGGATTAGGCACCCAGAAAAGTAGGCGTAACAAAACAAACCCCACATGGTAAGAAACTACAACAAAAACCGAACAGAGAGGTAGAAAACTCCCTACAATCCCAAGGAAACAAGCAAACATCACACTTTACTGCCGCGCCGATCGTTCGCGCAGCCCTCCCCACCCCGAGAGGGGGAGGGGGGAGCCCCGGACCTACCGCGCCGGCTGCCAAGCTCCAGTTAACCCTTAACATGCTAGGGGTATAATATCCTTTCTTCCCCACAGGCGCATGTAATTTTGAAAAAAAAAAAAATTTTTTCTTCCTAACCTGTTAATTTGTGTTCACTGATCACGGGAAAAATAATAAAAAAATCGTAAGTGGCATATATTGCCCGCTATAGGGCGGGGAAGTCTGGCAAAAAATAGGCGCTGACTCAGCGTGCGTCCCAGGCGGTCTGTTGCTCGCCAGCTGTCAGGCCGGAGTTGCCACAAAGAGATAATTACCTAATTATTTCAATGTCTCTGATTGATTTTTCATAGTTTTTTTGCTGTAATATTATTCAATAGTGTGTAGTTTGATATATTTATATAATAAAATGAGTGAATCATTGCTGTACTCAAAAATATGGTGTGCATATTGTTGATTCAATTATGTTCATCAATCAGTGAACAAATACTTTGTCGGTTATTACACTATAAGCACAGGTTATATATAAGTATCTGCATGTTTTGTTCACTATAACGAACCACTAAGTAGCTATTATGAGTCAAAAAGTAACGAGGAGTGACTGCCGTGTACCAGCCAGCCACTCCCGCCCTCCCTCAAGTCATCTGACTCACCCACATTCTCCTCCCACAATACTGTTTTTGCTATAATTCACTATATACAGACGTTATATATAAGTATCTACATGTTTTGTTCACCATAACTGTACATCTAAGCTTGTATGGTGAGTAAAGGCACAAAGACGTAGGACCTCACACAGTCAGCTGATGGCTGCCGCCCTCAAGGCCAGACGCACTAATATTTCTCCTCCAACAATACTGTGTGGTGTTATTACGCTATATACACACATTATATATAAATATCTACCTGTTTTATTCACCATACTTGTACAAATAAACTGGTATGGTGCCCAAAGACCATCGTGGTAACCAGTAAACAACACCGTCGTCTGCACGGTGGCGTCGTGCAGACGACGCCACCGCCCTCACCAAAATGGCGGCTCCCAACCTTCTCTTGCTGTTTATACCCTCTATACACACGTTATATATAAGTATCTACATTTGTGTTCACCATAGCGAACCACTAAGCTGGTATGGTGAGTGCAGTCAATAAAAGGTGGCCACACACAGTCAGAAGACATCGCCACCACCCTCCCTCCCACAGCATTACTCCTCCCTCCATGGCGCACAGCGCTAAATATCACCACAATCCTGCTATTATCAGAACCCTGGTCAGTTTTATCACAGTCAGGGGTCTTCTGTAATAATATCATCGCTACATAATAGCATGAACAAGTATATTTTGGCATTTTTAGGCGATGCTGTGGTCACAAGCTGAACAGCAGTGCTGTTAGCTCATGCTGCGTGCATCAGGCTTGGTTGCTCACTCAATACTGAGGCCAATAACACCCGGGAGTTTGGCCCACGATTTTTTTTAAATGGCGTCTGTTTACAAGAGCCCTGATGAAGGTGTGGTGAACCCCGTGTATCCGCGGGCCGTTTAAATCTTGCGTAGTACTCCAACACGTCATATGACGTGATGCGCAGTTGACTGGAACAACGTCCAACACGTCATATGACGTGATGCGCACTTTAAGGGTTAAATACCACCAGCTTATCTTTAGGGAGAGGGCCACCCTAAGTAAGGAGGGCCCCCCCCTAAAGGGGGCAAATACCAAATGCCCCAGGGAAGCCAACCTTGACCACAAAAGAGCAGTACAAAAAGATCGCACAGGTAAAAGAACCCTGTGCTCATGCAGCTCTACACTAAACTCCAGGCTCACACACAACACTCTTGTAAAAACCAGCTTCAAGTCTGGTCAAGTCAAGCCCAAAACACCACACGAAAAATGAGAGACTGGAGCCAGAGCGACGTGGTGACCAGGGCACGAATCAGTATAGAACTGAAAGTGGGGTGGGCTGGCTGACCCGGTATATCTCCCCCCTCCCAAAGGAGGAGGGTGGTGGGGCAAACTAGCGCATGCTAATTTTACAAAATTTTGGGAATTTGTTTTCATTGTTGGGGGTGTTCTTTTGGCAATTTGGGGGCTTCAGTCTCATTTTTAACCATGCAGTAGTCTGTTATGGTTCACCTATCTTTCTGGGTGCCTTTCCCACTTGATGGCAAATATGATTAACTTTAAATCTAAAGTGATCATAGGCCATTGCTCCCTGCACCTCTCTGAGAGGGCCAGGTTCTGGCTTGTGGTCTCCGGTAGGACAATAGAACTCTGCGACTGTTGGCACCTACTAGTATGGCACTGATCAATGTCTGATAGCTTCAAGGAGCAAACTGGACATCCTCCAGAAAACATATCCAAACCATTAAGCACCAGAAGCAGCAGTTTCTGGCAATAAAGAAGAGATAAACAAACTCCCACTGACTCTAGGCCAGCAATAAGGCATCCATTGTCAGTCACACAATCGGAGAATGGGGGATCATGGGGATGGATGGGAGTAAGAATGTTGGTGAGGGAGGGAAGGAGTGTCAGCTGAATGTGTGGTGACCTTAACCCTCAAACCGCTAGGGGCCCAAATGGAATTCACACCCACAGGCGCAACAACAACAAAAAAAAAATCAAAAAAATTCTTTCGTCTTATAGAAGTGTTAATTTTTGTTCCCTGATCACGGAAAAAATAACAAAAAAATTGTAGGTGGCATATTTTAGCCGCAATAGGGTAGGGAAGTGTGGCAAAAAAGGGGCGTTGGCAGAGCGTTCACCAGACGAGGTCTACTCCGCCCGAGCTGTCAGACGTCAGTTGCCACAAATATATTATTACCTAATTATTTCAATGTCTCTGATTTTTTCTTAGTTTTTTTACAGTAATATTATTCCATACAGTGAATTGTGGTATATTTATATAATAAAATGTGTGAACCATCGCTCTACTCAAAATTATGGTGTGCATATTATTGATTCAATTACAGGGGTACCTCGGAATGCGAGTGTCCCTGTATGCGAGTTTTTCGGAAGACGAGCAGGATTTCCTCGAAAAATATGTCTCGGAAGGCGAGGGTTACCTTGGGACACGAGTTTGTTAATACGCGTACAGGCTGACCTAGCGCGTGGTGGTTCGGCGATCGTCGCCCCTCCACCCCTCAGTTTACCATTGTCTCAAGCCCAGTGACTACCCCACATCAATTCTTCTCGCAGATTTTCAGTGTTTTGTTGGATTTTTGGTGATTTGACTATATAATTTGTTATTATATATCTCACCATGGGTCCCAAGAAAGCCAGTGGTAAGGATAAAGGCCAGAAAGCCCATGTGAGGATGACAATAGAGGAGAAACAAGAGATCATTCGGAAGCATGAAAACGGTACACGTGTTGTTGAACTTTGTAGGCAGTACAACAAAGCCACATCAAGAATATGCACTATACTTAAGAAGAAAAATGAGATTATGAGTGCTAAAGTGGCAAAAGGAGTCAGAACAATAACGAAACAAAGACCACAAATACTTGAAGAAGTGGAAAAGTTGTTATTAATTTGGATACACGACAAGGAGTTAAGGGGTGACAGTGTTTCGAAGGCCATTATTTGTGAGAAAGCCAGGGTTTGGACAGATATGCGGTGAGGAAATCGAGCAGTGAACCTCAACCAGGACCTAGTGGTACTCAGATAAAACGTCCCAGGGAGAGCACACCAGAAAGGTCTTCACTGCCTGATGTGATAATGGAAGGGGACTCCCCTTCCAAACAGTAACTCCTCTC